AGTCCTCTAAAATGGTTGAATATCTCTCTATAGTGTTGCTGTTTCACTCTTCCAGCATTAGAGAATGTTCTAGATAGCACTCTTTCTTAAGGGAAGCAGGGATTTGTGGTATTTTAATCACGCAAAATAGAAGATGTATTACATCTCGCATCTCTTCTTCACCAGTAAGCTGGAAGTGAAGTTTAGCTTACTTACAGCTAAAGCTGTACTCGACATCTCGAACAAAGTATAAAGTTATTAAAATCTGCCAAGAAAACCATAAAACCCTAAGTGTGCAGTGACCATGACTCGCTGTGCATCCCTTTCCTGCTGGCTGCAGGAGCCCTCGCTGCAAAGCTGCTACCTCAAGGCTCCTGGGTGACCGTGAGGGTTCCACTCAGCCTGTCCCCTCCAGACCCAAAGGCCTGTCCCTGCCTGGCCGTGGCTTCCCTTCTCGATGGCCAGGGAGGGATCAGCACAAGCCTCCAGATGCCCCCGACGGAGCAAAGGACAGGCCCACCGAAGGTCACGCTTGTCAGCCAGAAGCTGTCACACTGGCCAGCATTCCACTGCCTCCAGAAGAGGGCATCCTCTTTGTGTCCAAGAGAAACCTACAGATGTGACCTCACCTTCTGGAACCTATCACCAAGGTGCCCCTATCATCGTGCATCCCTACACCAGACTGACTGCCTTTGAGAAACAGGCTCCAGGGGCCAGGCTCGTCTGTAATCGCTGTGGCACTGCCCAGCTGTAGGGACAAGGCCCCAAGTATTATCTTCCTCGGCACCCGCATAAGCTCGCTGCTAGGAGAGGCAAGCATGCCAGGCGTTCTCGGCCTCACTGGTCCAGGAGAGATGCTCTGGTCAGCGTGTGGACAAAACTTCTCTCTCTTCCTGGAAAGTGCTCTTTTGGTCTGCAGGGCGACAGCAAACAGGAACTGCAGAAAGAAACATGGGTCTGAAGCTAGTTCATGCAGCAGGTCGAGGAGGGCTCCTTCGGCTGCCCTGGGGTGCCTCCGTTGTGATGTCCTGATGGTGAAGTTCTCTTGGTCAGCATCCTGCCAGATGGGGGTCCGGAGGGGTCCCCTCACCCTCTGCCTGGGGTCAGCAGGCTCTGCTGGCGGCACTGCAGCGCCTCAAGGCACTTGGTTGGGAAGCCTGTTCTCCCTGCTAAGCCAGCGGCCTCCTGCCCCGACTGTGGCGACCAGGCTCAGTCCTGGCTGGGCTGCCCGGAACGGAGGCGCTGCCGGCTCAGAGGGCGTCGGGAGGCGGCAGCGGCTGGGGACCTGGGGGCTCGTGGCAGTAGTAGGGCTGGAAGAGTCTCTCATGGCTGCACAGCTCCATGGCCTGGTAGGTGTGGGACAGGAGGTGGGGGAAGCGTGACGTGAAGTAGCGCACAAAGTCGTCGGGGAGGGAGCCCAGCGTCTCACGCACCTCTGTGGGCAGCTCCCGGTAATGGTGCTTCTGCAGATAGGATGGACACACAGACAGGGCTCAGCAGTGAGAATCCCCCATAAGTGCTGGCCAAAGAGCCCTTGCTAATGCAAGAAAGACAGAGCACTAGGGATTTCCATAAAAATGGACACGTCTGCAGGTCTGAGAGAGACTGGCGGAACCCGAGACCGAGACCTGGAAGTGAACTCACCCCAACGGCACAGCTTTCAGATCACTAAGGGGAGCGCTGACACCAGGGAAGACCTAGTCCGTGGAACATCAATCAGATACAATCAGAGAGAAGCCTCTGTCCAGGATAACATTCAGATGACAGAAAGTCAGAGGAGAAGGACAAACGGAAACAAGAGGCACAAGGAGGGACTGGGCCAAGTGCTGACAGCGTGAGGGTAAGAGATGGCATCAACAAATATGCATGCCTGGCTGAATGGGGTACCAATCTGCATTTAAACTCACTTAAATCTCAATAAAAAGTTAAAAAAAGTGGTTTTGGTTCTTTCTAAAGAAAAATAAAGGAGCTTTATGCAACTCCACATTCATCCCAATATCCTGGCCTGGGTGTCCTTTTTCAGGAAGGGCCACAAAGGGGCCTCAGAGCCTGGTCAGGGGTACAGTGCCCAGTCCCTCTGAGTGATCAGGCAGACAGCAGACAAGCTCTCTGGTGCTGACGGGATTGCCTGCAGCCTCGAGCTGCTCCAAATTGGAGTGTGTGTCCTTCAGGGCTTGGGGCCTCACCTGTGTTGGGGTGGGGCCATGTGAAGTTGTCAGGTGACAGCACAGGCTAGACAGTGGGGCCCCTGCCCTGCAGGTCCTCAACCCGGCTGTGCTTACGTGGTGGCCATAGTGGGCACGTAGTGCTGGTTACTGTCCTCACAATCTGGCTTATGGCGCCCCCACAGTGCAGAGTAGGACCCCCTGACAAGATTTCAAGGCTGTGATCTTGCAGAAGCAGGTCACCAGGCCTGTCTTTCGAGGTGCCAGGGGCAGTTCAAACTGCCAACCCTTCGGGCAGCAGTCAAGTGCTTCACTATCTTGTGCCACCTGGGTACAGGTGGAGGTGCCGTAACAGCCAGCAGAGAGGGACCATGAGGGACAGAGGGACCAGAGAGGGGGTTTCACAAGGCTTAATGCTGAACCTCAGCATCCTTAGAGAGCAAATCATCTCAAGAGAAGAAACAGCTGGTGTGTGTCAAGGCGGCTAAAGCCTCCGAGCCTCAGAGACTTGAGAAGACAGTGGGGACAGCAGAAGTGTGTCTAGCCATGGCCACCAGGGTTCCCACCAACTCTTTACCTTATTTCTCATGGCGCGGAGGAGATCCCTGACGGAGCCGCCCTTGTAGGTCCTGAATTTACGAAGATCTGGGGGGAATAGGTAAGAACCCAAGAGTTAACAAATGACAAATAACCAAGCCAACGTTGTAAAAGAAAACAAAGCCTATCGCTGATGCGGATTAAACAAGTGGACTGAAAGGCACCTGGATGTCACATGGGACCAGAGGGAAGCTAGGGGGCGGGTGCTACCCCAGATCCCACTTCTCAGCCTCACCTGGGGACAGCTATCCTCTAACCCCAACATGCCACCCCTTACGAGCCTGTCCCCTAAGAAACGAAGGTGAGATACATGAAGGGAGGCCCGGTCTGTATCCAGGGCCCTTGCTCCAAGATCAGCTCAAACCCTGCACGTGACACATGGCCCTGAGTGCCTGACTCCTCCTGGGAACCGATGCTGCTTTGAAACGAGTCTGCACTTGCTCCGAGTGTGGGGCTTCAGTGCGGGCACCTGTCTGGAGCGGGACGGTGATGTTCTCCCTCCAGTCCAGCTTCACCACGGCTCTCCCGCCTCTCTCCAACTGCTTCACGATTGGGCCATCCAGAGACTCCTTCTCGATGCGGTCACTCACGTCCTGTGTGGGGGACAAGGGTACACGTGGAGTTCCAGCAGGGCCAGGAGGTCATGGCACTTGGCAGCATGGGTCCCAGGTCCCTCTCCTCACCACTTCCCTGGGCAGCAGCCTGTGTGCATGGACCCTCACAGAAACAGAGGCCCTGTCACATACACACCAAAAGTGTCTGTCAGACTCAGAGCAACACTTGCAATCTTTGTCCGTTAGTGAACTGAAGTCACGAAACAGTGCAGCACTGACTGAGCTCTGAGCACTGACGGCGCTGAGCTCTGACTACTGGGAATATGTGCTCAACAATGCAGGTGCCAGGGAGTTGTCCCTCCTCACATGCACATCAGAGAAACCTGGGGAAGCTAAGTCTTCTTTTAGGAAAGGTGGGTGGTGGCATGAACATGGGCTCTGCAGACTCTGGCTTCACATTGTGCCCCCACTGTGTGCCCTGAGGACCGGACCTGCTAATGGCCCATCAGACGGCTGATCACTCAGTGACTCCAGACATGTTAATGCAAAGCAGCCTTTTCTGTCTTGGATAAAGCCAAAGCCGGACTAACTGACCCTCTAACTTGTAACCACTAGAGAAAGCCTCGGGCGTGCTGAGTGCCCTGGGGACAGACGGTTCTGAGCTGGAAAGCTATGACAATTAGTTGATCAGGGTGGAAGTCAGTTGTATCCACAGGACAGACTTGGCGATGCTTTGAATTTAAGGCCTAACCCAAGCTGTAGTGACGTTCCTTCTGTTTAAGTTTATTCCTGTTCTCTCTTTTGTCATCACTGCTATTTTCAGCAGTCTCCTGGAGACATCTAGACTTCAGAATTTGATGTTGTCTTATTTCCCAATTAATAATCTAATGTTGTACCAATTAGTCACCATGGAAACTAGCACTGAATCCTTTCCTCCTACTGTCACATTCTGGGGCTTTTGCTACAGCCAAGCCTCCGGTCTGACCTCAGGGCAGCGTGTCGGGCACGTGGTTCATGGTGCCCACCCTGCTCTGCTTGGGCACAGCCCCTTCTGGGGGAACACTGCCCCCTCCCTGCCCTACAGCCTGCATTTCCAAGCAGCAAGGACGGGCAGAGGGTGTCCTGGATGAGCCATGCCAGTTCAAGAAGCACAGTATCTTTCCACAAAGCCGCCTGATGATGCCACAAAGCCACCGCTGATCTTAGGATTATCTTCTCAGACTCAATATTAAGCATAAAGAGATCTGGTGAGTGGGAGGAGCCGGCTTTCTATGCAAATCTCAGTGGCGCACGCAAGCGAGGGGGCGTGACTTGCTAGCAAAACGAGGCCCGCCTTCCGGGCCAAGAGGGGGCGGGCTCTCCAGCTCGCCGCCTTCTTTTCGCGTGTCTCTGACGTCGCAGACGTCCCGTTTAAAAGCGGCCGCGCAGGCGCACTGAGGCGAAATGCGAACTTAGGCTGTTACACAACTGGCAGGGGTCTACTCTTAGCGCCCGCCCGCCCGGCAGACAGTCAGTCCGCGTCGCTGCCGCCGCCGCCGCCGCCGCTCCGCTCGTCCCTGGAGCCTCCTCGGGCCCGCCGCCGCCGCCGCTTTCCCCGCGCCTCCGCGAGCCTCCGGGAAGCCTCCCGCGAGGCGCCGACAGGCAGCCAAGCCCGGCCTGAACGTCCGCGTCTCCTCCGCCCGCCACGCTGGCTGCTCCCACCGACATGAGCGGGGACCATCTCCACAACGACTCCCAGATCGAGGTGGATTTCCGATTGAACGCTCCTTGCTCGAGCTGCCCAGAACCAGCTCGGGGCCCCGCGGGGCCGTGGACACCCCAAGCTCGCCTGCCAGTACCGCCTGCGAGTGGGGCGCCCCATCCTGACGATGATGAGGATTCTCACAAACACAAAGATAAACATCAAGACCGAGAACACCGGCACAGAGAACACAAGGAGGACAAGGAGAAAGACCGAGAGAAGTCCAAGCACAGCAACAGTGAACATAAAGATTCTGAAAAGAAACACAAAGATAAGGAGAAAACCAAACACAAGGATGGAAGCTCAGAAAGGCACAAAGACAAACATAAAGACAAGGAAAAACGAAAGGAGGAAAAGATTAAAGCTTCTGGGGATGCAAAAATAAAGAAGGAGAAGGAAAATGGGTTCTCCAGTCCACCACGAATTAAAGATGAGCCTGACGATGATGGGTTTTTTGCGCCTCCTAAAGAAGATATAAAGCCATTGAAGAGACCTCGAGAGGAGGACGATGCTGAGTATAAACCTAAGAAAATTAAAACAGAAGATAACAAGAAGGAGAAGAAACAAAAGCTAGAGGAAGAAGAGGATGGTAAATTGAAAAAACCCAAGGATAAAGATAAAGTTCCGGAATCAGATAAGAAAGGGGAATCAGATAAGAAAGGGAAGCCGAAGAAAGAAGAGGAGCAAAAGTGGAAATGGTGGGAAGAAGAGCGCTATCCTGAAGGCATTAAGTGGAAATTCCTGGAACATAAAGGTCCCGTATTTGCTCCACCATATGAGCCTCTTCCAGAAAATGTCAAATTTTACTATGATGGTAAAGTTGTGAAGCTGAGCCCCAAAGCAGAAGAAGTAGCAACATTCTTTGCAAAAATGCTAGACCATGAATATACAACTAAGGAAGTATTTAGGAAAAACTTCTTTAAAGACTGGAGAAAGGAAATGACCAATGAAGAAAAGAATACTATCACCAACCTAAGCAAATGTGATTTCACTCAGATGAGCCAGTATTTCAAAGCCCAGTCAGAAGCAAGAAAACAGATGAGCAAAGAAGAGAAATTGAAAATCAAAGAAGAGAATGAAAAATTACTGAAAGAATATGGCTTCTGTATTATGGATAATCATAAAGAGAGAATTGCCAACTTCAAAATAGAGCCGCCTGGGCTTTTCCGTGGCCGTGGCAATCACCCCAAGATGGGCATGCTGAAGAGACGGATCATGCCTGAGGACATAATCATCAACTGTAGCAAAGATGCCAAGGTTCCTTCTCCTCCTCCAGGACATAAATGGAAAGAAGTCCGACACGACAACAAGGTTACTTGGCTTGTCTCATGGACAGAGAACATTCAAGGTTCCATTAAATACATCATGCTGAACCCCAGTTCACGAATCAAAGGTGAAAAAGACTGGCAGAAATACGAAACTGCTCGGCGGCTGAAGAAGTGTGTAGATAAGATCCGGAACCAGTATCGAGAAGACTGGAAGTCCAAAGAGATGAAAGTGCGACAGAGAGCTGTAGCTCTTTACTTCATTGACAAGCTTGCTCTGAGAGCAGGAAACGAGAAGGAGGAAGGAGAGACGGCAGACACTGTAGGCTGCTGCTCGCTTCGCGTGGAGCACATCAACCTGCATCCAGAACTGGACGGCCAAGAGTATGTGGTAGAGTTTGACTTCCTTGGGAAGGACTCAATCAGATATTATAACAAGGTCCCTGTGGAAAAGCGAGTTTTTAAGAACCTACAGTTATTTATGGAGAACAAGCAGCCTGAGGATGATCTTTTTGATAGACTCAATACTGGTATTCTAAATAAGCATCTTCAGGATCTTATGGAGGGCTTGACAGCGAAGGTGTTCCGAACATACAATGCCTCCATCACGCTACAGCAGCAGTTAAAAGAACTCACGGCCCCGGATGAGAACATCCCCGCAAAGATCCTTTCTTACAACCGTGCCAATCGAGCTGTTGCTGTCCTTTGTAACCATCAGCGGGCACCACCAAAAACATTTGAGAAGTCTATGATGAATTTGCAGTCTAAGATTGATGCCAAGAACGATCAGCTAGCAGATGCCCGGAGAGATCTGAAGAGTGCCAAGGCTGATGCCAAGGTCATGAAGGATGCAAAGACCAAGAAGGTGGTAGAGTCAAAGAAAAAGGCTGTGCAGAGACTAGAGGAACAGTTGATGAAGTTAGAAGTTCAGGCTACAGACCGAGAGGAGAATAAACAAATTGCCTTGGGAACCTCTAAACTCAATTATCTGGACCCACGGATCTCAGTGGCTTGGTGCAAGAAGTGGGGAGTCCCGATTGAGAAAATTTACAACAAAACTCAGCGGGAGAAGTTTGCCTGGGCCATCGACATGGCTGATGAGAACTACGAGTTTTAGCCATTCTCAAGAGGCAGGGTTCTCTTACAAGGAACAGTGTGGTTTGGGGAAGATGGAAAAACTGTGAGCCTCATTTGCCCTCGCACATGAGGGAGAGAGGCAGCAAGTCTTAACAAACCAACATCTTTGCGAAAAAGATAAACCTGGAGATATTATTTTTTTTTCCTGCCTTAAGGATTTATTTGTACAAATAAACCTGGAGATATTATAAGGGAGAGCTGAGCCAGTTGTCCTATGGACAACTTATTTAAAAATATTTCAGATATCAAAATTAAAAAAAAAAGAGATCTGGTGAAAGATAACAGATAAGCCAGAGCTGGGTTAGTCATGGCTGATGCTGGCGAGGGGTACCTGCCAGTTCCTTAGGTTCTCTCTACTTCCGAAGGAGCTCTGGTGGTGCAATGGTTAAGTGCAAAGCTGCAGACGGAAAAGCTAGGGGGTTCAGCTCGGTGGCTCTACGCCAGAAACAGACTTGGCGATCTGCTTCCGGTCATGACTGTGGCCAAGGAAACCACAGGCAGTCAAACCGGGACACTGTAAGTTGGAATCAACTCAGTGACAAACTCCATTTTTACATATATGTGAAAATTCCTAAGATAGCAAGTTTTAAAAAGTCATGCCATATCCAAACGATAGAATGCTTGTGATTATGGAAATACAAAGGCTATGGGTTAAAATTCTGAAAACTTTTAACATAAAAAAGTTCTTAAAATATGTATAGTAAAATAAAGACTCAAAAGTGTATATATTGTTTAATCACAAATGCATTTTTTCTTTCTTGTTAAATCAAGCTATATTGATAAAATGGGATTCAGAATATTTTCCTAGGAACCTCGGGAGGTTCAGCCAATCATTAGAACGATCAAGTGTTCAGGGATTCCCATTCTTCTTAGAGTCAGCCACAGTTTGTTGTGATCCACACAGTCAAACGCCTTTGCATAGTCAACGAAACACAGACATTCCTTTGGTATTTCCTGCTTTCAGCTAAGATCCATCCAACATCAGCTACAATATCCCTAGTACCACGACCCCTTCTAAACCCAGCCTGGACTTCTGGCAGTTCTCTGCTGATGTGCTGTTCTAATCGTTTTTGGATAATCTTCAGTAGAATCTTGGTTGCATGTGAAATTGATGATATTGTTTTATAGTTTCCACACTCTGTTGGGTCACCTTTCTTTGGGATGGGAACAAATATATATCTCTTCCAGTCAGTTGGCCAGATTTCTTGGCACAACTTGGTGAGCACGTCCAGGGCAGCATCTTTTAGCTGAAATATGTCAATTGGTATACCATCTATTCCTGGGGCCTTATTTTTTGCCATTTCCTTCAAAGCAGCCTGAACTTCTTCTTTCATCACCACAGGCTCTTGCTCATATGATTATTATTAGTTTCCTTTAATAAAAATGGTGACGGTACAGAGAATGCAAAGTGTCCTTGTCCGTGGACCAGATTCCTGTGCAAGACAGAACAAGGCCGAGATGAGATCCAGCAGCGGCCCAGCGGCAGAGGTGGTGGACACCCAGCCACGGGTGTGAGACGGAACAGATCTGCTGCCCCACAGAGTCGGAGCGCAGTGTCTTGCCTAGCCTCCAGGCAGAGGGAGCCGGGGCTGGGCTGGACGGGGTGAGGACATAACTGACAGAACTAAAGAGCTGAGAGGCAGGCCTGGGACCACAAGGCTGAAGGTCAGAGGGAGGATGTGTGTGAACACAGCTGAGAAGAAGCTGTCCTCATGGAAGATTTGTATCCAGAGTGCTTCCAACCTTAACTATATAACCTTTACTTCCATAATAAACCCTGAATTGGGAGTACTGTCTGTGACTACAGTGGATTAGCAAACCTCATAGAACAATGAGAGAGCGGGGAGGCACAGTTGTTAGAAGTGACAGAGGGAGGTGAGGTGCAGGTCTGACCTCACAGGGACTGACTTTGGGCTGGTTTTGCTGTTGATGGGAATTCTGCCCCCTTGTGGAGTTAGGGAGGTAAGACTCGATTGCCCCCACACTGACCACAATGTTTTTACAAGGAAACGGGCATCTTTACCTGGAAGAACTGGAGCTGCTTTTCCAGGCCCCAGAAGAAGGGATGTTTGAGCACGTGTTTCGCTGAGGGGCGTTTCTGAGGGTCCATTGCAATCATCTTCTCTATTAACTCACGGGCAATGACGTCTTCTGTAAAGGAGGAGAATGAACAGGTAACCCATTATTAGCAACTGAATGTTACAATAAAATACCAAGTCCCTCAGAAATCCTACCGAGAGGCACTTGTCCACTAACAAGCTTACCAATGTGCCAAAACCCCGGCTACAAAGAGCAGCCCTAAACGCCGTGAAGAGGCCTGAAATGCCCCATCGTGGAGGCTCAGCTCAACACCTGGCTGCCCTCCCTCTCCTGACCGTGAGTCACTAAGAAGACATCTCGGCTGAAGTGTACAGACACTGAGGGTCAAATCAGTTAAAAGAGCCCCTTGTAAACCAGCGTTCTTCAATGCTGAGGTCTAGAAAAAGCTGTCCCGACAGATGCTTGGAGTATTAGCAGAGGCACCAACAATCATCGCTGCATAATGGGATTATGGGCCTTTCTGCTAATCTGGTTTCTTGCAAGAAATCAGGAAAGTAAACGGATTTTTTAGGAAGGCAAACAATATGTCAGGTTTGATTTTTCAGAAGGTGACAGTGGGATGTCATAACCCAGGAAGTCACAGCTGGGAAGACTGGCTTGTTGGCCCACCTTCACAGTGAGGCCCAATGTTTCTGCCCCCAGTCCAGGGCTACCTGCGCCATCTCTCACACCAGAGTCTGATTCATGGATAATGTGCCCTCCTCAAGGTCAGTGCAGGAAGAGACCTCAGATTATCTCACACTCAGGGCAAAGCTAGAAAATGGAAGTCCCCAAAGTCCCCTTCTCAGGTTATATGGGTATCTGAGTCACTACAGGGATCTGAGAGCTCCTACTGCCAGCTGGACACCTGGACTTAGGAAGTGAGCCCCAGTGACCGACCACCCTGCCCAACCCTCCGGCAGCTTGGAGGACGTGTGTCCTAAGACCATCAGAGTGTGTGCAGCAAGTTAAAGGTCCTACGCCCCAAGCCTGCAGGGGCTCCGGGGTAGGGAGAGAGGGTCCTCTACCTGAAGCCTGCAGGGGCTCCTGGGGCAGTGAGGCGTCTCCCTGGGCCCCAGCCTACGGCTCACCGTGCTTCTCCGGGTGTAAGTAGTCGAGGTTGTAGGCGCCCAGGAGGATGTTGGCTTGCCGTTGCAGGGACTTGCCGAAAGGGTGGCTGCCTTCAGATATCACATAGTAGAAGACACAGCCCGCAGAGAAGATGTCCACCGTGTAGGTCTGCAGACAAACACAGTGTGAGCGGCCCCGTCCTCCAGCAGCCAGGAGCACAGGGGAGCGCAGCTGCAGGTCTCGGGAGAATCCACGAACATGTCTAGAGAGCTCAGAGTGGGCTCAGAGATGGTGGTGGTCCCAGACATCCCCGGGGCCAGCCCCTCCCACCACAGTGCACTGAGGAAAAACGTGCTGTGGCCTCAGGGGTTGGTTGTGAAGGTGATGAATGAATGATGGATGAATACATGAAAATGGTCAGCTGAAACTGAGCTTGGTGCACAGCCATGCTCACCAGGACCAGAGCTCCAGGCTGCCTGACCCCTTGCCGGCAGGGAGCCCTGTGTTTGCGTCCCTGAGGGCTCCCCAGAGCTCACCCCAGCTGTGCCTGCACTGTCAGCATCAAACTTGGCTTAGATGAATAAGTAACATCGTGTCTGGTCCAAAAATAGCCACAGAAAAGAGTGATCTGACACGCTTCCAGAGGAGTTGTTTGGAGGACCTCTCTCTTACCCCTTAAAGCCATTCCGTGTCCCCGAATGAGTGCCCCTTAAAGATTATGTGCCCTCATTCACAGGATAAGGATTAGGGAGCAAAGCCTTGGGTAGACCCCAGTGCTAGTCTCCCCCTCAATGTTCCCTCAGACGCCAAGGACTTCTTGTCCTTCACCCTGGAGAAAACCCATCTTTAACAATGCCGGTTTTCCTATTAACCTTAAACCAACCATGAAGGGAAAGCTGGAAATGTCACCATCCTCAGAGGGCTGGAAAGGTTCAAGGGCATGTTCAAGGTCACTGCTGAAGTGACAAACCAGGACAAGACTCAAGTCATGCCCTCTATTAGAATTTTCTTTGGGGAGGTGACAGAATTGGGACAAGAGGAACACAGTGTCCATAGCTGAAGGTGAGACCCAAATGCCCCTGGTCACTCTAGACCCTTGTTTTTGGCAGCTGGTGCTTCCAGAGGGCACAGGTAGGGGGTGCTTTCCTCACCTGCCTGGGCCTCTCTGGCCCTGAGAGTTCAACTCTATGCTCAGCTGTGTTCTTACCCATTTCTTGGTTATTGATGCCATCTGTCCTTGTTATAAGGAGCCCTGGTGGTATAGTGTGTTACGCTAACTAACAGGTGTGTGATCTGAATCTACCAGTCAACTTTGCAGAACGAAGACGGGCACCATGCTCTCATAAAGATTCACAGCCTTGGAAATCTGATGGAGGGTCCCCTGAGTCAGAATTGCTCTGAGACCACCAGTGGCCCTGCGTCCTTGTTATGATGATGTTGTTGTGTGCCACCGGCCCATAGCTGATCCTCCAGCGGGTTATCAGAGGCAGTAAATCACACAGGAGGAGATGTCTCGCTCCCTGTTATTATAATACTATAACTTAAAGGAGCTCTGGTGGCCTGATGGTAAGAAGCTGTGCTGCAATCCAAAGGCATGCAGTTCGAATCCTCCAGCTGCTCTGTGGGAGAAGGATGGCAGTCTCCTCCTGAGTGATTCAGAGCCTCTGAAAGCCTGCTGAAGGGTCTGCCAGGAGTCACTTCTCACCGCCAGTACACTACAACCTAATAGTCGACAGGGTGGCAAAATCTGAGTGCCACAAAGCCTGTGAAAAGCTGAAGCTTTGGAAAAACGAAATAAAAAGCGTATCAGAAAAACTGCCGTGGAATCAA